GTGAATTCACCTAGCTCACTGAAGCTGAACTTCCGAAGAGCTAGCAACACTATCTGGTCACCGGACGCTACTTCGTCCGAAAACGAAATGAGGAATTCAAAACGGACTTCAGTGAGGCCGTAATAAGAGGATGCAAAATTTCTGCGTCCTCTTATTATTTCTATTATTTCTGCGGCAGAAGGCTCGAAGGAAGGAGTGACCTGAAGTTCACACTGAAACCTGAGATAGGAAGAAAATTAATTTTGTGGCGCAGTGACACTGAACTGCTAGGTTCTCCACTTGTATAATTTACAAGTTGTGAAACTGCATCGCAATTTTGTGATTATAATTCAACTGAATAAGTTTCACATTGATTTATATCAGAAAATTCTAATTGTAAAATTAAATACTTACAAATATCAATTATATACCAAAATCTCATTCAATTGAGAATCATATCATGCTTCACTTTCATATAGAGCTACAGCGACACGAAACTATATTGCATGCACCAGAAACATAAAGCCCAGAATTGCGCCTAGTCTAGTGTAGAGGTAGTAACATCTACCTGCTCATATGACTAGAATGCCCACGAGTTTACAAGAGATATCGAAATAGGGTTGCTGCTGATCACCACTGTTATTCGGTAGATCAGCCAACACCTGAGCATAACTCCGTGATAAGGAACGATCACCAATTTCTCGGTATCACTTCGCAGAGGGATACGCGATATTCTATAGAATAGTCTGGTAAGTATAAAAGTAGTAATGATAGTACTACATACATCTATTATGATAATGCATTTGCACATTGCAAGTCGAACTAGTTCAAACAACACTAGTGATATCGCGGCTATTGATGTAAAATTCATTCGCAGCAAGCAACAGTAGTAGAAATGATGATATTTTCTAACGACAGTTACACCGGAAATAGCAATACGAATGATCAGTGGGGTAAAGTGGCCTGGCAGCTCCAACACAAGTTGAATGGAGTTTCACCCGTTTAACGTAAAGTGGAGTAATTATCTTTGAAAAATATCGCGATATTCGCGATATACGGTAGTCGTGAAATATATTTTTCATCTTTTTGAAACTCCAATCTAGTCAAGCCTGCACTCTATTCGGGCTAATCATCATCATCACAGGAGTACAGAGACTCGGCTGTCATGAGTATTTGTGGTGCCTTGGCCGGGGATCGAACCTGCCTGCTGACCTCGTCGACCATAACTTACTTCTCAACCATGTTCGGGACCTTCGCGATGCCGTCGACTGCAACAGAATGAACAACTGCATCGCAGCAAATCCAACCTCTTTTTTTCCAGCGCTCCCGCATTCCCTCGCGGGCGAGAGCCTCTGATAGAGTTCGCGAATCCATCAGCGAGAGGGGCACTCCCGAAACGGCCTATGCGTACATAATCAACATCACAAGCAAGTCAGAACGACGGGGTATCAGTGTCTCTCCATCGCAAGCATGCACTCAAGCCAGCATATGCTTCAAACTCGTTCTAAGTAATCGTGTGAGACGGCGACTGGCCGGTGAGTCCGACTCGCTCAGCAAGTCGTTCATGAACTTGAATATCTCGTCACGACCGACTCATGAGGCTTGTCGAGATCGAAGAGATTGGAAGCCACGGGGAGGCGATTTGGAAGAGTACACCCGAGAGACTGCTAGCGATTGCCATGAAGCACAGGTTTACAGCTGAAGTAACAGCCTTGGCTCTGGTGCAGTGTGTGTGAAAGCAACTTCGTAGCTCGTCGAGATGAGAAATACTTCACCTGCGGCTATCAGGGACAACTGAGGGACCTGCCACCAGATAGAGATGGTGAACCATAGAGGCCATAACGACATACTCCACAATAAGAGCAGAAATCAGGGCCAACGCCCCCAGCACTGAGCCAATACAAAATCGCACCAACACTCGTGGCATCCTGCCGTGTTTACGTAGCCAGGGATAGAGAACTCTGTCCACCAAAACAGAGATCACCACGACTGCTATAGGATCCACGATTTGCATCAAAGCTGCTGGCATATTCCAACCGAAAGTGTTGCGGTCCATCTTGAGTCCTTGCGTACGAAATGCAGTAGTCATGTTATTGTATGCCATGTTGAAAGGGATGATGAGAACGACGAACAATGGCAGTAAATAAAAGAATACTTTGGTGTATTCGATGAAATCATCCTTGGATCTCCCTCCCTTGCTTTCCTTGTTTTTATCCATGGAGCACCGAGCAATGGAGAAAGCTGTAACCTTACACACCTCTAACACAGCAAAGCCCTGCGGCTTGGCTTTAACATAGCGATTCATAAAATCGCCCAGGACTAATACTATAGTAGCCACTACGAGAAAGGCTAACGGGAAAACAAAGCTGGCAGTGAAACCAACTTGCTGCAGCAAAGCTGGCGTGACGATTACATCAATAACGGCACCCAAATTGATAGAGGCGTAAAAATAAGTGAAAAACCTGGTGATCAACTCTTTATGTTCATACGGGTGCATTTGCTGCGCACCCATAACATTAACACAGCTTTTGATACCACCAGCATCGACCGTGATGAGCCCCAACAGAGGGAGCTGTACCATCCAAGGCTCGCTGGTTGATCGAACAGATGAAAGAGTGAGAATAACTGAACCCAGCATATAGAGGATTGAGAAGCCCAGGATAGTGAAGTTGACGCCGGTCAAGGTGTCAGCCAGGATACTTCCCAGGAGCGGCGTTGCATACAGTACAGCATTGAAAGCTGAAACGTACGAGTCGGCCTGCGTATCCTGGTAGTTGAGGTACTCCTTGAGGAATAGTTGGAGGTTCGGAGTGACTCACTCCGAGTGAGGCCATAGAATGCCAACCTCTCACATCATCATTCTTCCATTAGTATGAATATGCAACCCAGCCATATGGGATTCTCGAAGTAATGCTAAGTGTTACCGGTACGATCAGTCCATGAATACGGCTTAGGGAACGACATGCTATAACAAACTGGGAATAAGCTCATGAGACTACACACATAACATATACACTCCTCCCAATGTAGTGGAGTGCAGCATCGTGCATTG